TGTAATGGATATTGCGCATAAAGGTATTGACTTTATTTCTACAATTAAACTTTTAGATAAGTCGTGTTGCGTTTTTTATAAATCAAGGCTTTACAAAGTAGGTTTTTGTGTTTTCTTGGTTCGTCTTTCAAGTATTTAGGTAATGTTTTACGTGTGTTTCCCCTAACGGACCTCAATATTTTCCTTTATATATTGTTGGTTGATATTTTAAAATTATAAAAGTGTTCAGTGTAGATGCAACCGCCTGCCGCCGTAATCCAAGCTCTTTATTTTCTACAGTTGTTTTCATGTTTATTTTTTGGCCTATCTAATTTTCTAATTCATAATGTTTCTAGCACAATATAATCAAGTATTTTAGTATAATAAAGGGCAAGTTTGAAGTAACTAGGACTAATGGTCGATTTTTGACAATTTTTTGTTCACGAATTTTCTTCCATACAAATTATGTTCCAAATTTTTGTTTGTATTGAAGCAAATAATAACACCACTGGGGAAAAAATTGATAAAAAATCAACGCGAATTTTTAGGCACTTGCAACTGGCACTTTCTTAAGCATAACTGGATTTTTGCTAAAAAATGCTTAACAAAGAGTTTGTTGTTTTAAAATTTTGTTGAATTGTTCTAATTTTTATACAAAGTTTGAAATATGGACTTATACGGTTTTTGTTAGATAGTGAGCTGTATTTTTATAAAAAAAATAATAAACATTAAACAAACAAAAGAAAAATAGAAGAAGCTGTCGTGTCCCTATTATTATTCACATGACTGTATGTGGGCGTGTCCAACCCCGCCCACTTTTACATATTACAGTTTTTACTCTTAACAGACCTCACGACAAAAATTGTATCCCGATATGTCCATTAATAGTATTTTTATTTTTAAATGTAACCACTGTGCGCGGGCCCCGTGGCTTCCAAAATCTATCACTAAGTTTAATTCACATATCTATCAAAATAAGCGCTTATTTTATAAAATATATTTAAGGAAGATTTTCTGAATTTACGGAGGTTGTGGGTATTATCGGGTGTGTCGGGAAAGTATTTTGGTCCCGCTAGCCTTATCTAAGGAGAGCATAAATTCGTCCTCTAGGCTAACTCTAACGTAGATATTTATGGTCATAATCTGTAGTGAAGCTAAAAAAAAAGATGATAAAAATTAAAATAAACTCCCTGACTTGTGCCCTAAAAAATAATTTATTTGAATTTCAAAATTTCTAACAATTTGCAATTGTGTTTAACTTATTCAAGGCGAAGAAAGGCTAGCCTATCGGTATGCATGCGACCTTAGTGCATGCGAAGAAGTGCGCTAGTCGCAAATAAATTCAAATAATATAACAATAAACATTAACAAAACAAAAAAAAAATATAGGTATTCAGCTATTTAAAAATCATTGTCGGTAGCAAGCGGTGACGCATCAAAGTTTGCTAAGTCTGCGTTCAGACACGGAAGCTCGAGTTGCTTATTACCGGCAATTTCCCTTTTGGTATTGCCCTTTGCATTCATACACAGCAACTGATTTGTATGCGATTATTGTTGTCAGCTGTGAACCGCCAACTTTAATAACGCAGACGAACGAGAGCACAAAGCGTGTTGCCCGAGTACGAGCAACTCGGTACCCGTCCCCTTTCCTCAGCGCTCTCTCCCCTACAAGCTTCGAGTTGCCGCAACAAAAGTTTCCATGTCTGAACATCGAATAAGTGGTGTTTTTTTTTAGCGGATTGAAGGTTCAATTTAGCACCACTGTACATATGTGTACGCTCATACTTAATGCGTGCGGTATAAAAGCCGAGGGTTTGTTGACAACTGGCAACACAATTCGCAAAAGTCTAAAAGTCTTCAGTTGTTAAGAAGTGTCAAACTTAAGAAAAAACAAATCTTCAAAATGTTCAAATTGGTAAGGTTAATTAATCAGACTTTAATTTAGAAACTATTTAAATAATTTTAATTTTCTTTCTCTCCATTTCCCCAGTTCACTGTCTGCTTCCTTGCTCTCTTCGCTGTCGCTTTCGCTGCTGCTAAGCCCGGTATATTGGCTGCCCCAGCTGCCCTTGCCTACACCGCCCCAGTAGCTGCTCCAGTAGCCTACACCGCCGGTTATGCGCCCTACATTGCTCCCTATGCCAGCAGCTATTCGGCTCATTCGATTGCCCACTCTGCCGCCTACCCAGCGGCTTATGCCGCCGCTCCAGTTGTTGCCGCAGCCGCGCCCGCCGTTGCTGTGCTGCGAAAATAGAGACTTTTCCATAAATGGTGATGAAAATAGCATACATACATATTGTATAAAATGTGCTGAAGCTAGCTGTTGCGAACAGGAATAAATGAGATTTGAAGATTATGCAAAAAATAGCCTGAAAGCATTTGTTTTGTCATTTATTAATTTTCCACGATTTTGTAGAGTAAGCGCTGTAGAGGTCTGCAGATGGAAAATTATTCTTATTGAATGAGAGTAAAAGAGGAGGTTAATGGGTCAATTTAAGATAATTTTCGATCATAATAGCTAGGGTGATGAAACAGAAAATTAAATTTGTTAGCATTTTATGTCAGTAAAATGCCAGTCCAGTTACTTGCATTTTAAGGATTCACTTGCATGAACTGACTCCAGATAAAAGTTCCTACAGTGAAGTGATGTATGGGAAAAAATTTTAAAATTAAAAAAAAATATTACAAATCATATTTTCGCACATACACACCTATGCATATATTTATTTATTTATTTATTTATTTAATAATAATCCAGAAATTATTTAAATAAAAAAACAAGTAATTTTTAAGCAAGAAACAAAACCGACTTCAATTCTCTTATACAAATTCAAGATTATCGTTAATTTCTTCATGTTCTAATGATCGGATTTAGACCAAATTAGTATGGGGCCACCTGTAAGGTAACCTTTCCTTTGAAAATAATAATAACAATTATGGAAATCGGTTAACGTGGTCCAAAGTTATGTGGTAACATATATATAAAAATACAAAATATTCCGACGTATTGATAACTTCTTCCCTTTGGTGAAGTCGGTTAAAATCAATTGGAAATTACATGAATTCAGATTTGGTCATATTTTAGTTTCTTCCACAAAATTTATGAAACGCTAAAAAGGGATCTGTTTAAAGAATTTTTATTGCGTTTCCCTTCTCTCTCTTAAAATAATGTAGACGAGACTTCATTTCAGCATTGCAAATGGAGCATTGCGCAAATATTGCTTTAAAACTGATCTTTCATTCAAATTAAAATTTCATTCTATCCGTTGAGGTTGAAATTCGGTTACGCTTTTCTCGCGAATAAGGTTTTTTTGTACACCTGTTTTCTTCAGCAGTGATATTACATTTCATTTTTACGTCATCTCCAACGCCAACTACGTTAGACAAAATTGTTAAACAGTAAAAGCGCTTCGCCACGAAAATAGACGCGTTATATAAAACATGACTACATGTACATATGTTTGTTTAGTTGCTTATATTCTGCGAAATTAATATCACTTTACCAATGTCTAGATAGCTTTAGAGGTACGCTAAATCAGTATTAACAGTCTATATAGTCTATAGATATTTAATTGTAGATATTTTCCGCTTCAAAGTACTGATTCGAGTAGGCAGTTAACTTAAGAGTATCAAATGCAATAACAATCACCGTTCCTTAGAAATAAATATTTGCCTGTTTTCAATTCGCTTGACACATTTCCACTTCCCTCAGCGTTGTATGTACGTAGATGTAGTATGTATGTAGATTTCATTACCAATTATTTGCATTAATTTTTTGTGTTTGTATCAAAAACGCTACTACTACTTTAATTTGTATTCGCTGCGGTTTCATGTTTCATTGAAAATTGCAGTTCATTTTAATTAACGCCACAGAGCACGCATAAAAAATGCTATGATGCTTGGGCGCTTTCAAATTATTCGAGAGTGTATGGGCGGAGTCTTTCACGATGCAGTTTTAATTTAACTATCAAATTGTTTGTAGTTTCTATACATACTAAATATCCGTTTTATATCAAGCACTTACGTAAGTACTACATTCATATTTATGTAAGTGTATGTAAGTGATAAAATTGGTAACACATAAATTGTTCTAATAAGCTACTAAATACTAGCTACATATGTATGTGTTTTATATACAACCCCATTCTGCAACTCTTTCGTATTCGGATTTTGTTACGAATCGTAGAAATAGTATGCTGCTATCCGAATCGTATTTTCGAACTTTCGAAATACGTAACAATGGCATGCCTAAAAACGAACGAGCGTAATTTTGTACGAAAACAATTCAGTGTCGGAAGCGAGATAAAAGATGTAAATCGATGTGTGTTTGCAGGAAATATTAGTGGTGTTCTTTTAAACAGACAGATTTGCCTTTCTTATATATATACCTATAGTTTTATCCACTGCTTTATATGAAAGAAATGTTTGTTGCCCCTAATCGAGAAACTTGGGTCCGGTTTAGTTATTTGTACAATGATTTTCAGTTGTTGTGTCCAAACGCATAACTCGAATCTAAAAACTTTAAAACGCACGTGTAATCAATGGATTAAACTTTAATTTGAAATAAATGTTTAAAATTTCCAAGCAACAGTTTATTAATAATTTCGACAGCTTACATAGATGCGTCCATGGTTACTATGCCCAACAGCTCCGCATATCTTTGTGAATTATTTCCATAGCGCGCTCTAACTCTGCTGCTATGATTGCAAATGCAATACAATCCATCGTTTTCTTCAAAGTATGTAAAATCAAACAATTTTACCATAAATAAGAGTTTTTAATTTCTTTCCACTTTGTTTTCCTTCATACAGCTATCTTCGAAAAACAACTGATAGCTTGTTTCCGCAAAGGTTCCAGCATGTTGATTTTTCGTCTTTCGTAACGTAGCTACGAATTACGAATTACGAAAATTCGGGTTCTAGAATAAAAGCATGGTGCATGGAATACATAGCATGGTGGAGAATGGGTTAATTCAAATATTTTCAAGCTTATCTTTCATTTGGTAGATTTAAAAGAAGAAGTTACTAACTGAAATATCTACGTAAGTGTGAAGAGCTTGAAATGCTGGCCGACATGAAAAACGCCCGAATATTGTATTTGAAAGTTAAGCGACTTTCCGTAGGTTTTAAGAGCGAATTCCTGTAAGCAAAGCCACGGCGACCTAGTGATAAAGTG